AGTTACTAAGTCCCATGAACTTCCAAGTAGACTCTGAAACTCCAACTACGAGCCTGAAGCCATCCTATACCCGAATATTACGAGCCGAATACGACCCATCCCCACTTGGAGGATCATGGGACTTAGCAAGTAAGGTTATAAGTACCTTAATTGGGTTTATAAGTAATTGTATGCATGGTTACTTTTTTTTTATAACTCTCCTTACTAAGTCCCATGATCCTTCAAGTAAACCCTTGAGTTCGTAACCTTCGACCCTCCCAACCCCGTCAACCCTAAACCCGAGACGGAACCAAAGAGCCGCTACTGCAACCCTGTAGCTACGAGAGCCTTGCAGGAACCCCGTGAACCCTACAACCCTGAAGGGTCTAGGGTTCAGGGTTTAGGGACACTCAAAGGAACCCGCTGGAGGGCATAACTCAATAACCTTGTAAGAAACCGCGAAAGCCCCTGAACCCGAAACCCCAGAGCACAGGACGTGCTGAGGAGGAAGTCACCCTGGTCGTCCGGGCCCGGGGACGCTGCTGCCAACCTTTTCTTCAGACGGCTCTATAAGGGTAGCTAGAAGGGCTACTATGATGGATTAGAATTGAGGCTTCCATACTAGCAAAGGGTTTTGAGGCCGCTAAATATCGTACGGAAGGGGATATTCTGACCAAATGGGAGTTTCCGAAAATAGGCTAAAATATGTTGCCCTAAATAGTAGGATCCTTTTAAAAAGGACCCCAAAACAAGATCCCCTTATTGTCGGAAACTCCCAAATCTTCCGAATCCTTTATTGCACTCGTTGAGGCTTCACAGTCTCTCCCTGGACCCTAAGGAACCTACCTTTTTAGAGCCCCCTAGTATGATTTCTTTATATAAGTCCCTAAAAAAGGTAGGATATTTTGGGTTAAGGACGGGCTTATCAATCTGAAGTGTATGGGTCAGTACTTCTTCAGGGGTTGTTGATGTAGGTACTGCAGGGTCCAATGGCACTTGACCCCTTAGTGCCTTAATTAGGTTGAATGCTTCGCGCGTCTGGGCCTGGGAATAAGGGTCTACTATAGAGGTCTCAATAATTACCTAATATCATCTCTTAGGGTTCCTTATTATTATAATCACACTTTAAAGGAGCCCGAAACCCTATTCTGAGTACGAAGGCCCCTACACTAAGTCCCTATAATAGCCCTTCTAGTAGCCCTTATAGACGCCTTTCATAAACGGAAATTATGAAGTCCCCTTATTGCACCAGCAAGCCCTTCACGGTCGAGGTAACCCTTGCCACCTTTTTAGAAGACCGTGGTGGTCCATGGTTTAGGGCTTTAGGGTTTTACAGTAAACTCCATAAAGTTGGAAACCGGACTAAGGCCAAATCGTGCTGGGATTCCCTATACATTATACTCTTCAGGATGGAGGCTATGGGGTTTCCAACTTTTGGCTTTTAGGGACACCAGGGATGTCAGTTGAGGCTAAGACCGGGGCCGCAACAATTGGGATTCGGCTTTCGCGGCATACTATACAACACCTATCATCAGGAAGCTGAGGAATACCAATCAAATTATTCCGGCTCCTATATGTGATCATGATGGGAGATGTGGACCCGCGGGTTCCTCCCTGTGGGACTACGGGCTTACCTTGTCGTGCCTCGGTTGAATGGCTCAAAAAGGCTGGGTGCCTCTCATACTCAGTGTTTTCCATCTTCGTGAAACCTGATAGCATGCAAATGTTTTGATGTTCGGCTTGAGGTTTCAGAGCCCAGACAGGGACCAGTTGGTGTTGCCAGCAAGCCGAGAACAGCAAAACATCTCGAGACGTCGAAGGCTTAGGGCTCAAGGTTCATTGTTCTAGATATCCAAAAGCACGACCGGGACCAGAAAGTCGCGAATTGTTATCGCCTGTGCTCGTGCTATGCTCATATCGAACTTGTCATGGTGACTCCGTCGACAAGTATGGCCATGACGACAACGGCACATCATCACGCAAGAAAACGTTCGTAGCCATGCTGATAAGCCCGAGAACCTCAACCCCCAAGGCTGCCACTCAAGCAAACCAACGGCTCCCCAAAGACTCCAAGATCCCTGAATTAAGTGATATTCCCTAAATCAGCTTGGGGATCCTGGTATAATTTTTGGCATATGGGAGCTTCCGAAAATGGGGGACCCTAATATAGTAACCTAAACTGTAGGACCCTTATATATAAGGACCCCAAACTACGGTACCCCTCATTTTCGGAAACTCCCATATTCCTTGACTAGACCCAAGAGTAGCCCAGGAAAAATAAGGGTGCCCTTTTTGGTTTAAAGGGGCTTATAAGGGAACCCGAACCCTCAAAAAAGGGAATAAGGGCCTACTCCAGGTCCTAGTTGATCAAGGGACAAAGGAGTCGCTGGGTCCTCCAAATAGCAACGGACTCCCCAGGCGAAACAAAAACTAAGCCCCAAAGCCCCAGCTATCCCTGACGCAGGGGCTCAATAATTAGCATAAGGTTTTGGGGGTAGAATATCCTATAGTTGGAATAAGAAACTCCTAAAATCCCAAAAAGGTATTGGTAATTATTTAGGCCCCTACTAGATTACCCTACCCTCAGCCCTACCAGCACTTCGCCTCTGCCAAAACATGGCCACAGACGGCGCGAAGTGGTCCTAGGCAGCCGTCATGGCTTCAGGGCTAACCTGGGTTCCCTTTAAAGAGATACCTGGGGTTCCTTTAAAGGGTTCTGTAGGAGTTTATAGGATTCCCTTTAAAGAGATACCTGGGGATCCGAAACCTTACCGTTTTAAGGGTTATACCCTCTAATTAAGGGATCATGAGCTACTATTTTGTAAGGTTTGGGGTCACAGGAAAAGTATGGTTTGGTTCAGTTGGATTTATGATTGGGGGTTCAGGGCTTATTTTGGGTATGAGGGCTTAATTACAGGTGTTAGGGTTTGGGAATTAAGTCGGAGGGTGTTCAGGGTTTGATGCTTTTTTCCGAGGGTACTATGGGGGTACTAGTTATTTAGGGTCTCCTTAAGGTCAAGCCTCGGCGCATGTCAGCGAAGAACCCCAAGCTTGGGACCCTGAATCCTGCGACCCTCACCCTAAAGCCTAAACCTTGCACCCTCAACCATAAGCGCCTTAACCCCTGTATCCCACGACCTAACCAGGAGGTACTTTTGGATTTTTAGAGCCTTTGAAAATATTGGTAGGTAAGATCCTCTCAAGCCCAGAAAGAGCAGATACAAAATGTCCCAAAGCCCTACGTAGCTTAACCCGATCGAAACCCTAAACCCCCTAAACCCTAAACCCCGTAAACCCTAACCCCCGAAACCGTAAACCCCCTAGACACCTGAACCTGAAACGCTAACCTGAAATATGTTCATGCTAGCTGCAAGTCGATCACCCCCTGCTCCGCACCGCAGCCACGAGAGCCAGATCCTGCTCTATACTGGGGTTCCTTAAAGGGGACCACAAGGAAACTATAGCGTTTAATCGGGATAGTAGGGTTTGAAGTTCTTTAAAGGGGACCATAAGGAAACTATGGCGTTTAATGGGGCTGGTAGGGTTTAGTTAGGGTTTCTTGAAAATGACCATAAGGAAACTATAGCGATTAATGGGGATGGTAGGGTTTAGGGTTCTTTAAAGGGGACCATAAGGAAACTATAGTGTTTAATGGGGCTGATAGGGTTTTCGGGTTCGTTTAACGGTTCCTGTAAGGGGTTGATGTAACGGATCTAACTCGAGTTGCATTTGAGGGTTGTAAGGTGTTGGCGTACTTTGGGTTTTTAAGATTTGGGATTTTGGGTTTTTTGCGGTCCCGGTAGCCACAAGCCTTACACACTGGTATGTTCTCCAAGGGTAAAAGGAGGGACTCTTAATAAGGACCCCTGGGTATGTACCCTTAATATACCCATTATGTAGCCCTTTATAGGGTAGGGGTCCCCATTAAGGGTCCCTCCTTTTCCCCTTTGATGTTCTGACGCCGTTATGAAGCCTATACCTCGAAAACGCTTCGGTTCCACCGATGGTAGGGTTTAGTATGGTTCAAGCGGGTTTATTGACCCGGCCCCCTGAAAGGATCGAAAACAGAGAATCCTACAAAGATCTATCTCAACATACGGAAATACATGTACATATATATATATATAGAGAGAGAGAGAGAGAGAGAGAGAGAGGAGAGAGAGAGGGAGAGAGTGGGAATCGTTGTGTTGACTTCTGCTTTCAGACTGATGCACACCCAAATCCAACTGCTGTGAACCCCAAACGACAAACCATTCCCTGAATCATTCACTCGTAAACCGTGAGTGCGACGAAGATGGAGAAAGCGTCTAACTGACTCGCGCAGCAGAGCTACTAGAAAACGAACTTCCGGCACGTCCCTTTCAGGACAAACAGAGGTTTAGAGAAAACGCCTAAGTGGCATTAAGTGGCGAGACCCTGTGCACCTACGCCCACACGCCTTCTGGAATTGCGCGATGCAAGGCGAACAACCCACACACACACACACACAGACACAGACACACAGACACACCACACCTACACACCCGCACGCCGACATCTGACCTGCACAGGCGACTTTTCTTGCCGATGCACAGCTCTGCCAGTTGTGAGGATGGGAAGGTTGGAAGACCCATCGCTCCGTAGTATCCGGCTTGGGGGCTCATGTGCTACAGGTTTCGGTCTGTCTTGGAAGAGCTTGCGGTCGGCTGAGTGCAAACTGTCGGGGTTGGGGTCTCCAAGTTGGGGGAGCTTTGAGTTGTTCGCAACTCTCGTCTGCTAAGAAGACTTCTCCGTGCGTCCCGGCGTGCCTTAGACCTGTATATGATCGAACCTTCATCCGAGTCCGGGCCCTGGTAAACACAATAGGGTTCCTCTAGGGGTTCCATAAGCTATAAGGGCTTCCTTTCCGGGCCCCATTACTACGAATTTCATTCGAATTTCAGATGCCCGGCCTACCTGAGACCCAAGTAGTCCTTCAGACCCATTCTAGCTCAGAACCTGCAACCGCCTCGGCTGAACCGGACCGCATGGTCTGAAAGCACTCACTTTGCGAGCTTGCCCTGGATGTTGGCCGTGCAGTGGCTCTCCGGCGACATGGAGTAGATCCAGTTCGGAGTCACGCTGACCTGCACAAAGGCAACAACCCTACCGTAGGGGCCGAAATAAATAAGTAGAATAGGAGTTTGGGGTCTACTAGACTATGTTCATAATGAAGAACCCTGAGAATAGTAATAGCACTTTTATTGTAGTTATTCCAGCTGCGAAATATAATAAAACTACCCAGAAATCCCACATCCCAAGGATGTCTATAGACAGCTTTGACCAAACAGCCGAAACCAGAAACTCTCAACAAGTCAGGGTGCAGGGCTTCAGGCTGTGATTTCCGAGAGCAGCCTTGCTTTCTTCTTCTTTGAAATGATGGTCCAATGATGGTTGCAGTTGAAATAGGATAGAACAGGGTTTGGGTGCATCTTCGTCGTAACAAGGAACCCTGAAGAATAACATGCACTACTTATTCAGGCCCTGTAGTAGGCTTTGGAGTTCGGCGCTTTTGCGGGTTTATTCGACTTGGGATCTGGACCGCCAGCCTGGACTCTAGTGTCACAATACGGGTGGTTGTCAAAATTATGGTCCCTTTTTGGGTCCCTATTATAATACGGCACCTATTATTTAGAGACCATAATGTTGACAACTACCCATATAATATAACACAAGGCAAACAAGATTCGCAAGTTTCCTCTATGTTCCACGGTATCGACTGTCAGACTTCGCAGTTACGCAGAGTTATTGCAGCATGTTTTGGGGGCTTCTGGCTTCGGGTTTAGTGTAAAGAACCCCAAAACCCGATTCAAGAGTCCTTTAATAGAGTCCTTATGGCCCCTAAAAGTGGCTATTTGGGGTATATTAGAGGGTAGTTGGGGGGTCTAGGTATAGTGTGAGACTATGTTTGGCAACCTTTGGTCCTCACAACTTAGGCCAGCTGATAGCTGGTAGAAGCCCCCCAGTCCGAAGCCCCCTGCAGCCAATCATCACAAAATGCTAGATCCCCAAATCCTAAATCTCTAAAACACTGTGAACCCCATAAACCCTTACGAATTTCTGGGAAAAAGCCGATGCTTGCCTGTCCGCCCTTGACCATCAAGAACTTCGCAGTCCAGTAGCCTGAGAGAATTGAGGTCTGTGGTGTCTGACCCGAATCCCTACACCCCTAAATCCCCCAGGGCTCCTAAATCCTAAACCCCTGTAAACCCCACACCCTAAACCTCTAAACTCTAAACCCCTAAATCCCCCAAAGCTCCTAAACCCGAAACCGCTACACCCTAAACCCTAAACTCTAAACCCCCCAAAGCTCCTAAACCCGTAAACTCAGGCTTCTCTGATGGGAGGCCAAAAGGGGGGTTTAAGATTCTTGGAGTAGGGATTCCTTAACATGAAATATCTCATGGGAACCATAATTCCTACTAAACACCCATAGGCTCCCTTTTTATAGGCTCCTTTCAGAAGGGTGTCGTACTTTTGGGACCCAACAAGGGACCCGCGTTTAGACAACTACCCATGAGGTGATAACCATGCGCTGGTAATCTGGGTTGTAGTTTTGGAGCTCTGAAAAGTATTTATGAATAGGTACCTCTATAGGAACCATAAGGAAAATCAAAAAGTTTCCCAAATTGCCACCTAGTAATATACGAAGACTCACTAGGCCGTAGTATGACCACGCTAAGTTTTGCACGGTTTAGGGTTTATAGGGTTTGGGGTTTAGCCCTGCAAACCCGGAGGCCTGATACGACAAAGCCAAAAAGCTCCAAGCCACAAGCCCGACATCCCTACCCCAAATCCTAAGCCCGAGAAACACATCCCCGAGTTCAACCCCCCAAAGTCCCAAAACCAGATTCCAAAGGCATGAATACAACCTATAGAGCCAGAACCATACCACCCAAAAACGGGCAGCCCTGAACCCTTGTTCTTAGGGGCTGAGTACCCTAGCCGAAAAAAGGTTAACCTTCCAACTATGGTAGGAGTATACGAACCCCAAGAGTTAAAGTTAAAGCTTACCTACTCAGCTACTGAATGTTCAAGTCCTTGTGAAAATCCACAAAAACCCTACGCAACTTTTATGACCTGAATCGTGAATCCCAAGCCTAGAAGTACCTGTGACTCCAAACCCTAAGAAATAGTAGGTTATGACCCCTGACATCCCCTGAGTTAGAGGGTAGAACCCTCAAAACGGTAGGTTTTTGGATTCCCAGGTATATCCCGAAATCCTGCGGCCCCTTTTGCACCCGGCCTAAACCCTAAACCCTACAATGACGCTCAAACTCATGACATCTCTAATCCAAGGGTAAAAGGAGGGACCCCCAATAAGGACCCCTAGGTATATACCCTTAATATAGCTATTATATACCCATTATATAGCCCATTATAGGGTAAGGGTCCCCATTAAGGGTCCCTCCTTTTCTCCTTTGATCTAATACCCCGAGGCTCTAAGGGCTCATGTATTAAGGCTTTTGGGGTTTAGGGTTTAAGGTTTAGGGTTTAAGGTTTAGGCTTTTGGGCCCCCAAAGACCATGGTTGTCAAAATTAGGGTCCTTTTGGGGTCCCTATTATAATACGGCATCTATTATTTAAGGGTACCTCAAAACGGAAGATAATTTTGACAACTACCCATAGAAGGATTTGGGCTAATTTGAGCCTTACGGATAAGTCTCTAAAGAATCAAGCCTTAACGCCCTAACTGCCAAGACCCTAATCGCCACTTACACCCCCCTTCCTCACCTCAACTCCCCTAGACCCTGATCCCCAGACCTAAGAGTAACCTAGGAATAAAAAGGGTGCCCTTTTTGGTTTAAAGGGGGTTATAAGGGAACCTAAACCCTAAAAAAGGGAATAAGGGCCTACTCCGGGTCCTAGATCCTGTTTCACAATTGGGCTCAAGCCAGACCCTAACTTCCCGAACCCTAAAGCCTCAATTGCAAACTTCAAAACGCTAACCCCTAAACTCTGACTTAAAACCCCCTGAGCCCTACATATTCCCGAAACTCTGAAATTCCCTTGAACCCTAGTCCCCAAACTCCGAAATCCCAACTCCTACACCCCATACTCTTAAACCCCCTGCACCCTAACCTCAAAGCGGAAAAGGAGGGACCCTTAATGGGGACCCCTCCCCTACAATGGGCTATATAATGGGTATATAACAGCTTTGTTAAGGGTATATACCTAGGGGTCCCCATTAAGGGTCCCTCCTGTTCCCCCTTTGGATAACCTGGAACTCCAAAATCCAAGAGACCACCATTGTCCGCGGCTTCCTCTAGGGCGCTCCTTGGGTCAAGCACAGTAGACTTATAGGCCCCAAAGTAGCTCCTTTTTGGGAATCAGCAGAAATAAAAATTCTCTAAAGCAGCCTTATAGGAAGAAGCCCGTAAAGCAGCTTGAAAGCTTTCACTAGACGAAGGATCGATCCCTTGAAGGAGCACTTCAGGAACCCTTACAGCAAGCCCAAAGGAGATCTTGAAGTAAGGGAGCCTTTAAAATCCCCCAGACCCTAAACTGATCGATCCCTGAAAGGAGCCCGGAGCCCTTCAATCCCCTGGCAGTCGAGGCTCTTGTTGAAGTGGCCCCCTCGCTCGTTAACATCTTGGCCGTTCTCGAGGAACTCCCACAGTCTGTCAATATCCTGTCGGGGCTTTAGGATTTTAGGGTTTAGGGTATATTAGGGTTTAGGGTTTAGGGATTCCGACATAGGGGACCCTCATTTTAATACAGTACCCTAAATAGTAGGATCCTTATTATTATAAGGGCACCAAAATAAGGTTCCCCTAATTGTCGGAAACCCTAACCCCTAAAAGAGCCCGTTATGGAACCCTTATAGTACCTTATTTATAGTAGCCCTTTAAGCGCATCCGTAATTTTCGGAAACTACCATACAGGATTTTGTGATTTTAAAACTTCGTGCTTTTGGGGTTTGGCTGTGTTGGAACGTCCCCTCGGGCCGATTGTCTTTTCTTTTGAGAGTGCTATAAGGGTTCCTGGGCTTTTAAATAACCAGGGAGGAAAAAGTATAAACTTGTACTTCAAGGGTTCCTGCAAGAGTACGATCAGGGCTTATAAGGGTATTGCGTGGCTTCCGGGTTTTTGGGTCTAGGATTTTCCAGGATGTTTGCTTTGTGCCGGTGGGTTGACATGGCTTGGACGGAGGTTCATGGGACTTAGTAAGTACAGTCATGCGTACCTTGAGTGGGAAAATAACTGATTCTCAGGTAACTCCGTTCATAGCCCTAGGTTACTAAGTCCCAAGACCCTGTAAGTAGATGATATGCTGGCAGCCTCCACAGCTTTCGTTCAAACGCTTCGGCATGCTTTTTGCGGCATGCCAAAGGCTGCTAATCGAGTTGTGGAAAGGTTGTATAGGGTTATGAACATGGGAGTTTCCGAAAATGGGGGACCCTATTAGAGTACCCTAAATAGTAGGATCCTTCTTGTAAGGATCCCAAAATAAGGTACCCTCTATTTTCGGAAACTCCCACATCTAGCTCCCCCAGTAGCTAGGATCTCTGGGTTTTAGAGGTGGTTGAGTACAGGGTTCAAAGAGACTCCAATATCCAACTAAGGAATAACCCTTAAAGCATATTCGGGATCCGACTGTGGTCTGCGGTATACTCCTCAATGCCCTTATAGAGCCCTTGTAGATGACTTAAAGGAACCCCTTAATGTATATTCCTTCATTAAGCTACTTGTCGGGTATCATGGGGAACTAAAGGTTAACCTTTCCGGATATATAGGGATTATATAGGGACTATACTACCCAAAAAAGTTAAAGGTTACCTACTCTACTACTAGGTCTATTTTCAATTGTAGAACCCTACTATAAATCCCCTATAGACCCCTTTAAAGGAACCCCCAAAAAGGTTAAAGGTTACCTACTCTACTTCTAGGTTAAGGGATACTGGAGTCCCTGGGTCGATCCGCTCCGGTTTCTTTGGGATTGCGCTGCCGTGTCAGAGCTTGGGGTTTAGGGTTTAAAGAAAGGGGAAAAGGAGGGACCCTTAATGGGGACCCCTACCCTATAATGGGCTATATGATGGGTATATAATAGCTATATATTACGGTTATATACCTAGGGGGAGGTTTAGGGTTTAATGCTTAGGGTTTAGGGTTCCAGGTTTAGAGCAGATTTAGGGTGTACTTGGAGGGGCAGGGAACTTAGTAAGTAGGTTATAAGTAGAGTTATAAGTACCCTAAATGGGGCTACCCCAATTATAACCCTACTTATAAACGACTTACTAAGTTCCCAGCCCCTCCAAGTAGACCCTAAACCCCAAACCCCATAGATCCCTTTAAGGAACCCTATAGATCCCTTTAAGGAACCCTATAGATCCCTTAAAGGAACCCTATAGATCCCTTTAAGGAGCCCTATGGGTCCCCACCAGGGTGTAGGGTTTTGATAGCAAGCAGCTTTATGGTTTTGGGTTTTTTGTCGGGGTTTCGGCGCTCACACTGGGACAATCCCGAAGAGGCATAGGGTGGGTTTACCTGTGACTCCAAACCCTAAGAAATAGCCTTATATAGTATGGTCTTTGGGCCCAAGAGCCGCAAAATATGAGTCCTTGGAGCCTACCTGTGACCCCAAACCCTACAAAATGATAGGTTATGACCCTGAGTTAGAGGGTAGAACCCTTAAAACGGTAGAGTTTTTGGATTCCCAGGTAGGGTTTTGGATTCTACCGAGGGTTGTAGAATGACTATGTTCTTTAGGAGTTCTACATGCTTCAGGGCATAAGCTTTGAGAGACCGCAGCCCGTTCAAAGTCAACCCTTAACCCCAAGAGCTGAACTGTACTTTAAAACCAAAACTTTGGGGTTTACAGTTGTAGTGTGAGGTTGAAGGCTGCTGTCTCGTGACGTGGTTAGGTGTAGAGTTTATGTGCCGCGTTTTGGCGCTTGCGGTTTGAGCTAGTGACAGTCCGGGGTCTAAGTGTCTGCTGATTAATTGTACAGCCAGGTTCTGCAAAGATTCCGCAAAAGGTGGCTTGCAGCTTGCAGGACCTTGGGCTAACTAAACCAGAACACAAAATTCTAAACCCGCGTACATACTTGTCCGGTATCCTGGGGAACTAACACGTCAACCTTTAAGGGAGTATTATATTGGGATTGTATACAAGATTATCTAGGCTTGGGGAAATATTAACATATGGTACGGTAGTAGATGTGTTAAGGCACCTGAGAAATAATAGCAGTGACTCTTTAGGCCCCTGTACTACTTGCTTCACGGTGAAAACCCGCAACCGAACGCCTAGCCCCCGGAATCCTCTGCCAGAGCTGCGCCGAACCAAGTGTACTGCATGCCTGGCATTGGAAGGCAGATTCGCGTAACTTCCATGAAATATGTTTCGTTAGGTTCCTGTTCCTCAAAAGAACACAACCTAGCTATACTGTAACCGGGCTGAAGCCTCATTCTGGATCTTATCGCTGTTGCATTATGCTTTTGTAGCTGAGAGACAGTGTCCAGCGTCTGGTTTGCATTCATACCCGCATGAAGACTCCCTGGATCCCTCACCTCACGTTCTACAGATTCGCTACCATCCTTCAACATTGTCCACGCCATCCTTTTCAAAAGAGTCCTGCAGGCCCCAAAGTAATAAGAGTCATAACATGTCATGACACGTCATAACAGATCTAAACCCTACGCCCTGCACCCCCCAAAGCAGTATATAAGAGTCTTAACATGTCTGAACCCCGAACCCTACTTAGGGTCAGAGCGGGGCTGCCATGCTCTCATTCCTGGCTAGTAAGATGCACCCAGGCAAACCAAAGGCCTGTGCCCTTGCAGCACAAGAACTCTACTAAACATCCCCGACATGGAACCCGGGAAACGAATTTAACAACAAAAACATACTACAAAACTTGAATAACAAAAGTCAAGAGATCTCGTGTCCATTTCACTTGAGTAAAGGATGTTGACAGGGATCGACGTAGAGCCTTGTGGAATGTGGAAAGTCGACATGAACCCCAACTGGATGTTTCTGGTTTAAGGGTTTAGAGTATTTCATGGCGTGGAACGGTTTAAAGGTCTGACCGAGGTTTGGCTCCTTCGACGGAACTAGGGATTTCTTGGAGTCTTACTAGAACAGGTACTCAGACAATGTGGAAAGCCGGGATTTGGTCTAGGGTGTTGAGGCAGAATCTGCCTGCCGCGAAAGAATGCTGACCCCGCCTGTTCAAAATTTGAGCTCCAATCATTGTCATGGTTTGTTTGTTTTCGGATCCGTACAAAGCATTTCTAGTCAGGTGAGCTCACTGATACCGCCAGCTTCGGCATCACCCCACGCAACAGATCCATCGTCCAGAATAGCAGCGAAAGCGGACTGCCCGGCTTGAACGTCGCTACTGTTCCCACCGCTGTCAGGATCACCCCAAGTCACGACAGATCCATCGCCAAGAATGGCGGCAAAAGTCATTAGAGCGGCTTGGACCTGCTGGACATGACATTGTTCAGCCGATGCTGCACACCACTGCTGCCGCAACCCTGCTCATCACCGCCCCAGGTCACGACAGATCCATTGCGAAGAATGGCAGCGAAGGAGCAACGACAAGCTTGGATCTGCATGACATTGTTCAGCTGAGCCTGCACAGCAAAACTGTCGCCACCTTCCCCTGCATCACCCCAAGTCAAGACAGATCCATCGCCAAGAATGGCAGCAAATGCGCGCTGAGTGGCTTGGATCTGCAGCACATTCTTCAGCTGTTCCTGCACACCACTAGCGTCCCCGCCATGGCTAGCAAGACCCCAAACCACAACGGACCTATCGCTCAGAATGGCTGCAAAAGCGCTCTCAGAGGCTTGGATCTGTTGCACATTCGCCAGCTGATGCTGCACAGCGCTAGCGTCGCCGCCATAGCGAGCAGGACCCCAAGCCACAACGGATCCATCGGCTAGAATGGCAGCAAAAGCACCGGCATTGGCTTGGATCTGCAGCACATCCCTCAGTTGATCCTGAACTGCACTGCTATTGCCACCCGAGAAAGAGTTACCCCAGGTCACGACAGAGCCATCACAAAGAATGGCAGCAAAAGCACGCTCAGACGCTTGGATCTGCTGCACATTCTTCAGCTGGTCCTGCACAGCACTGCTGTCTCCACCAAAGCCAGCCTGACCCCAGGTTACGACGGATCCATCGCCGAGAATGGCAGCAAAAGCGCGCTCTGTGGCTTGTACCTGCTGGACATTCTGCAGCCGATGCTGCACACCACTACTGTCACAACCATCGTCAGCATGAGCCCATGCTACGGTGGACCCATCGCCCAGAAGAGCAGTAAACGCGCCGCAGCCGGGCGCTGGAAATGAGGAAGCTTGAATCTGAACTTGAACTGGGTCTATTTGAAATGTGAACACGCCGCCAGTCTGAATCCTGGCTTTCTTGACTCGCATGCACTCATCTAAAGCATCTCCAGATGAGTTTACTAGACGCCCTTTTCCGACTCCAAGGGCGGTTTGCGCTCGACGTTTCAAAGTTACTACATGTTCGTCCAAGCCGGCTTGCACGGTAACTGTCCTGCCGCTGAAGAGTCCAACTTCCACAGTAAGCGACATGCCACAGCTGGCTGCTGCGTGCTGCACGATGTGGGGCCAATCTTTCGTCCGGTGGTAGTTTGCATTTATTGAAACATTTTTGTCTGTATTTCCTGAGCATGGATGCTAGTCAAAAAGGCTGCAACAAATCTGTGTTCTCCTTGTGCTCCGGGAATAACCCTAAATGAACCCAGGCTCTGTCGATCAGCTGGGAAGCAGCACTGCCAAACTAAATCATTGTGACAACAGCTGAAGATCTGCTCCACTGAGTACTGAGACAGTGGCAACACATCCATACTCCCACCAGTTGACCGAGCACAAGACTCCAGGTAATGCAGCTGCACGTCAAGAAAGGAAGCATGTAAAAAGAAATGAAGCCCCCACACATTCTGCCAAATTCATGCGAATGAAACCCACACCCCCCAACACTAAACCCCTGACCCCCTACCCCTAAATGCCCCCAAACCCTGAAACAACAAAACCCTACACCTAAGACAAAAAACGCCGAGACTCCCGAACCCCTTAATCAGTAGTAATATACCTTATCTTATAGTAGTAATTGAATAATATACTACGGTTTAGGGTTTAGGGTAGAAATATACCTTAACTTATAGTAGTAAGGTTGAAACATCTTGAAACCATGGGCCCCTAGTATGGTCCCCTAGCTCTGGGAGCCTTACATACCTGCTAAATGGGAGTTTCCGAACATTGGGGGTACTGTACTTTGGGTCCTTATGACGAGGATCTGATCCTGCTATTCAGGGTACTATATTAAGGTCCCCTATTTTCGAAAACTCCCATATACCTTGTCTGCGCCCAGTGTCCATTCAAAAGCCTAAGGGTCCTAAGGGTCCATATTGAGCGCCCCGTACTGGAAACCTGAAACTAGACCCCTAAACAAGAACCCTAAACCAAAAGAAATAAACCCTTCAATCCTAAACCCCTCAGCAGGAACTCTAAACCCTGAAAACCTGAAGAAGAACGCTAGGAATCCTTCAAACCTTAACAACAAAAAAAACCTGAAAAGAAGAACGGAACAGCTTCTCTGCACCACTAGCACGCGCCATGGCCTTGGCCTTTCAGGAAGCTGGCGATGTCCATGGGCGCCGGCTTTCCTCGACTTTCTTTTAGTTTCGAGTTTAGGCTTTAGGGTTTAGGGTACGGGTTGAGGCGTTTAGGGTTGACGGGATCAAGGTTTAGGGTGTGGAGCTTTTCCAATGTTGAAAACTGTTTTACCCGAGGGGCGTTTAAGGTTTCGATAGGGTTTGGATAGATACTTAAGGTTTTATGACGTGGACTAAGGGATTGCAGGGGCAGGCTCTTCTTTGGGAGTTTAGACAGGTAGTTTTCCTTAGGCCCGAGGATTTTGAGTTCCTCTTGGTGTGGCTTTGCAGGATTGCACTACATCGCGCGTGGGGTGCACGAGGGTCTATGTTATGTTGAGTTTCGAACGGCAGCTTTGGTGTCTATAGGCCTGAAACAAAGGTTTAGGAGAAATGCATGGACAAGCTTCCACAACAGTTGAAAGTGGCAAGGGCCACCCTTCAGACCCGTACCCAACTACAAACCATGTCGGAACTACAACACATCATCGAGCCTAACATAAGAACAACAATTGTTGCAACAGTATACAATACTCACGACAATGCCACCGACAGCACTACGCATAATCATACACCCACTACTTTAAGATGCGCTCTATGTGAACTCTATGTGACGTACGAGGAGCCACCGGGCAGCATCGGTGGCCGATCTGGATGGTGCCAGTGGCAGGCAGCTGCGTAGTCGAGAGCATTGTAGCCTCTGTCTGGTTCATGTTTCGGGTTAGGGCTTCGCAAGTAAGGGAGCCTAGTAAGGCGAAATAAAAGGATACGTAGACAGCATCGCTCTGGCATAGTCTAGGACCAGACTATTGTTGCTTGAGGATGAAGTCAGGTCGCGACACTAAGGTCCTCCCGGTTGCTTGCCATGTGCTACCTACGCGCAACCACCGAAACTCGAGAGCCATTCCTAAGATGATTACATAGGGACGTTTATAATTAGAATCGGGCTAGGGCCCAGTATACTACATTTATGATAAGCAAATCATGTTCCAGGATGCTCTAAAGAAACTTTTTGCACAAAACAACTCTCAGCACACCTTGTTGCTGCACTGGCAGCCCAGGGTGTAGTGCTGAGAACTGCAGATGACACCTTCAAGCCTGGTGAAAAATCAAAAAACGAAAGACTTCAAGTGACAGATGCACCTATGGCAAGGCTCTACTGCGTATACAGAATATCTACTCTTGGTTGTTCGGAGCCTCAAGCTAAAAAAGCTACGATAGCTCTTCTCACAGCTCAGACTACGGTAAGTGCAAACACCTGGTAGAAGCCCTAGACCCTAAACCCCGCAACACACCCTGAACCTCTAGTAAGACGCGATCCTCCGAATAAGAACCGTGAAACAGGCAGCCCCTTGCTCTATGCTATCGAAACGTGAAACTCACCAGAGCGCGAAACCCTTATATACAAAAGCCAAAAGACAACCCATTGCCCAGAATGCCTTAGAGACCCTATAGAAGCCCGCGGAAACCAAGAGACAACGACCACCGACACCCCCGACAAGCACCCAGAAAAGATAAGCCCTCAGCCCCAAACAACCGCCAACCCAATCTTAGAAAACATCGTTCAGTTTACCGTAACATTATTCATCATACCGTGAATGCCTACAAAGCCCTTATACATGAGACGCGTGCGAAGGCACCTGCGCGAAGGCCCGTTGAACCCTGAACCGTAAAAGCGCTGACACTTTTAAACAGTTCAAAACACCCTTAACCACCAAAATCCCCAAACCCATATCCTACAAGCGGCCTCCATAATCAAGAATCTCAAGGTCGACCTTGGCCTCTTCGACCAGCCTTGGAGGTTTTGCATCGCACCAAACACAGTTTCGTGGCGAGGGTTTAGGGTTCAGGGGCTTAGGAACTTGATGGTTCTAGGGTTAAGAGCTTTTCGGAGTTGTTTAAGGCAAAAGGGTTTTAAAGTTTTGTGGTTTATGATTCCAGAGTTTAGGAAGTTTAGGGCTGCAGGGTTCAGGTTTTAGGGCCTATGGGTTTCGGGGCTGATGAGGTCAGGGTGACGATTCTTTAGGTTTTAGGTTCTCAACGTGGCGTCAGGTAGGTTTGAACCAACTTTTGTCCTTAGCGGGCCTCCTTCATAACGGGGCTTGACGATTTCTGCGAGATGTTATCGGGTTTGGATGGGGTGTAGAGTCTGGACTCTAAAAGCAATATATAGATGCTCACATCGTTTCATTGCAAGTTGGGGGGTCACCGATTTTGTCTTGCTAGGGTTCTGTTCACTTGCGATCTCAGGCTTACAGGGACTTGGCAGAGGGCACCTCATCGGGTCATCTCCCCACCCACCAACGCATTTCAGCGATCGTTGCAGAAAGAAAAGCAGCGAGTCAACCACTACCGACTCGCGGCACCCGACACCTTATAGAAACCCTTAAGGGTTCCCTTCTAGAAACCCTTAAGGGTTCCCTTCTAGAAACCCTTAAGGGTTCCCTTATAGAAACCCTTAAAGGGTTCCCTTATAGAAACCCTTAAGGGTTCCCTTCTAGAAACCCTTAAGGGTTCCCTTATAGAAACCCTTAAAGGGTTCCCTTATAGAAACCCTTAAGGGTTCCCTTCTAGAAACCCTTAAGGGTTCCCTTATAGAAACCCTTAAAGGGTTCCCTTATAGAAACCCTTAAGGGTTCCCTTCTAGAAACCCTTAAAGGGTCCCTTCTAGATACTCTTGACGGAACCCTTGTGGGACCCCACGAGCCCCAAGTCCCAGATCATCAGGGACAGTGTGGTTTCGTATCATAGGGACCCCTTTTGGGAGGGGGGGTAGGGGACGATCCTGAAATAGGCCTTATGAAGCCCTTATGATAGGTATGAAGGCCCCCTATGCCCCTCCCCCCTAAACCCTAAACCCCTAAACCCCTAAACCCTAAACCGTATGAACTCTGAACCCTAAACCCAGAAGCAAAGAACTCTGCAGGGCATCGGGCTGGGAGCTTGCGAAATAGAGATCTTAGGGGCTAGGGCTAGGGTTTAGGGTTTACGGTTTAGGGTTTCGGATTTAGGGTTTAGGGGCCCGCAAAAGGAATCTATAAGGGTTTAGGGTTTGAGATTTCGGATTTAGGTTTTAGGATCTAAGGGCCCAGAGAAGGGATCTATAAGAGTTTGGGGCTTAGGACTCCTTTAAGGGATCTTTTGGGGTTTAGGGTTGAGTGTTTAGGGATCTAGCGAGTGCTCTGGGCCAAAGCAGGTTAACTTTTGCAAATAAATAAATAAATATATATATATATATATAAATATATATATATATATATATATATGTATATATATATACACATACTAGTAGGATTGTATATGCATGAAAAGAGATATCCCAAACCCTGCGGCTCGAATTAGGCAGAAAGCCTAATGTGGCACGGTCTTTGGGCACAGCTGTGAATCTCCGCCCTAAACCCTACACGTCCTCAAAGCTTTGGTAGCTGCAGCATAAAGCAAAAGTTCAGCACGAGGCACCACTTCATCATATCCCAGTTGCCCTGCTCGATTGCCTCGGTTTAGGGCTTCGGGATTGGTTCTAATGTAAGAACCTGATTAAGAAACCTTGGGCCTTTATTCGAGCTCTTTCTATGAGCCCTAACATTTTGGAGTTATAGGCCCAAATCAGGTTCCCACATTTGGGGCTTCGAGGGACTTCAAGTCGAGTCTTTCGGGATATTTGATTGATCCAGGGCTTATCGGCTTATCGCTTACTTACCTTTTCCAGAAGTTCTGGTTCTGAATCTGAACCTGTCTCTGCGCGTGTGTGTGCGTGTGTGCGTGTGTGCGTGTGTGCGTGTGTGCGTGTGTGCGGGTGTGGGCGTGTGTTCGTAGGGCTTAGATTGCGCGAAAGTGCGCCTAGGATACCCGCTGACACATGTGTTTGTGATCCCTGGCTTCTCGGAATCTGGCTGATTGACACTTACACCTCATATCTCGTGAAAGAGAGGTGGCCCCCTTTTTCAGCATTGGCTTGGATTGTGTGCCAGCAAACACCCCTCAACAGCAGAGGCGGGTCGCTAAACCCTAAACCCTGGGGGCTCTCATAATGGTGGAGGAATCTTGCGTCAAGGGGGGTCCTGATAACCGGAAGGAAGGTTATAAGAAGCATAATTGCGGTGAAAAGGATGGTTACCAAATTGGTAACCCTGGCTACTAAGTCCCATCTATGTTCTGAAACCCCTTTCGGCAGTGAGCTATGCTAGTTGCGGACTGAGTACGGGGTACTTTGAAGGAATCCTTTAAACCCTCACACATCAGATCTTTTTGAAGTGTTTGCTACGGCGTGTGTATTCAAGGCCGTATGTATATATATATACACACACACACAGAGACAGCGAGAGAGACCGGAATGATTGGACTAGGATTTGGGTATAGTGTAGAATAAATACAAAGCAGCTAGAAGGTGGTACCTTTTGGTAGTCATTCCGATGCTTGTATTCAATTGTATACACCGGCAACACATCAAGGACCCGATAAGGGTTGCGGGCGGTTTGAAGTGTGTCCTCGCATAGCTGTATCAGGGAGTGTAAGGGGATATGATTGAAATTTATATGATTTTTTTGCCCGATAGCCCGAACTCCACCTCGGGCCCTCTTCAAGCTGGCCCTGTTTGGGCCCTGAACAGTCACATTGCTTTTCACGATACGACGTCTGTAAGAGCGCGTTAATAGCCACCCAAATTATTGAGTCATGGCTTGCCTTGAGATCTTGCAGCCCAGGTGCTAGGAACAGGGCCGTGCCGCCGTAGGCATCGAGCCGTGCGTTCACGTCGACGCCCTTCCTTTGGCATGCTGAGAGCGCTCCAACCATCTGTACACGCTGAGCTTCGAGTTTCCGGTTTCGAACTCAACTGTGGGGGTTTGGGGTTAGTGATGGAGTTGGAGCTCCTTTGCCAATTTGCCGTCCCGAAATACCCCGGCCTTGCCGCATTTCTATCTCAACATCTTTGAGACCTGTTCATGCATCAGGACTTGTGCAATCCCCTGCAGGTCCGAGATCTATCCCTCAACTGTAGACCCTACACCGGCCTAAACCCGATAAACTCGAAAATGCAACGTGGGAGTCGAAACCCCGAAACCGCTAGACCCTAAACCACAAGGATTGATCTTGTCCGCGGAATCCGAAGACAAATGTACGGGTTTGGTTCCGACAAATGATTATGGTTTTGGCACTCCCGTCAAAAGGTGACAGTCTGTAATAAGGAAACTACTGAGGGCCCGAAACATCTATGATATAAATCAAGTCTTTGCAACTGTTACTGAGTGGTGCAACATCCGACTCATAATATCCTATAGCCGTACTTTAGAATTCACTGACTAAAATAAACAGACCGCAGAGATGGCAAGGGTACCAACAAAAACCTTCAAAGCGGCCTGCGGACGGGAAACGCGCGACGGAAGAGCTTCCAGAATCGGACAACCCTGGATCCCCAAACCCTTTTAGGGTTTAGGGTTTAGGGTTTTAGGGTTTAGGGTGTAGGGCTTAGGGTTTTGGGGTTTAGGGCTAGTAGCTTATGACCCCTTAAATAGAAGGTCTGACCCTTAAAACGGTAGGTCTTTGGATCCACAGGACGGTTTGGATTTCGGGTTCCGGGTTTTGGGTTCCGAACTACCCTACGGCATACTTTCCCACTCGTTGGTTTGGGGCTTAGAGGGGGTTCCTCTATGGCTGCTGTATGGGCGAAGTAGATTCAAACTGTAAATGTTCCTGGACACTCACGGAAACACCAGCTGATGGGACCGGAGGGACTAATGTGTGATATAGAGGTCTGTATGGCAATGGTCTGCACTTAAAGCTTCAAACCCCCACACCTGAGTACAGTGTACCGTATGACATACGCCCAACCTGTTCAACACTATCGAAGACTCTATAACCCAACACGGGAAACCCTATCAACACCCTTATAACCCGTCGTAGTGCCGTCATCAAGCCGAATATATGTGCATGTATATGTGTGTGTGTATCCATGTATATATATATATATATATATATATATATGGGTGGTTGTCAAAATTATGGTCCCTTTTTGGGTACCCTAAATACTAGGTGCCGTCCTATATTAGGGACCCAAAACGGGACCATAATTTTGACAGCAACCCATATAGCTATAGGACCCCGAAACATCCTAAACGTAAACACTGGGCATGTTGCAAACGACCATGCACCCCCTGCTTCGGCGTCAGACACCCGGATAGTGCCCTTTTAGAACGGAACCCTGACAGGAACCCTAAATCCTGAACCTAAACCCCTAAGCCCGAAACCCTAAATCTAAAATCCAGCGAAAGTGACTTCACGCATTCCTTTGCCCAGGCCATGTTCCCAACCTAGGAGAATGGACCGGAGCTCTGATAACTAAGCGAGTTTTGCTGAGGTTTTAAGGGGGCGGTGCAGGCAGCTGTAGGTTCATCACAGTGACGGGTCCTTGGTAACTTTATCAAGATTTAAACTTGCACTCAGTCTGAACATATAGGGGCCATAAAGATCTGGGCTTATACTGCATAGGGTTCGAGATTACGGACTACCCAAGACTCCCCTCTTGAATGGTCTCGTGGCTTATTCGAATGTGCTCTGTTGCACTGGAACGCAACATAATGCGTTTGTACACAGTATTGAGACTCCCTTGTTGGCCATGTATGTCACAATACCCTGTTTCAATTATTCAGCTCTCCAAACCCTAGACCCTAGAGCCCAAACCTACATCGGCTGGGGGCTGTCTGAGGGCTCGGTTCTGACGAGGTCTGTAATATAGGCGCCTCAATAATTAGACTAGGGTTTTGAGGCCCATTATACTAGAGTTATAATAGGATAGGTAATTATTGAGGCCCCTACAGCACCCGAACGTCCCTTTTTGCAGCAGGCTTCTCTCGCCAAGCCCTGAACCCTTCATGTTACGGGCTGAGTACCCTAGCCCAAAAACGGTTAACCTGTTGAATAAAGGTAGGTTGATATATGATATAAACTTCAAATAATTAAAGGATACCGGTCGCCCAAACCCTACAAGATAGTAACTGAGAGTAGGTTATGACCCGTTAATTAGAGGGTAGAGCCCTTAAAACGGTAGGTTTTCGGATCCCAAGGTACCTACTCAGCTACTAAGTCATCAAGGGCTGCAGGCTGCAGGCACAGGATGGTCGAATATCTTGGCGGCTCGAACCCTATGGGGCTTCAGGGTACGTACAGACCTTTAGGCTTTGGGGCTTTGGGGTTTATGTTGCTTTTTGTCTACTTGTCGCGGCTTGCGAGTTTCAAACATTTTGGGCCGTATGTGTGCGGGGTTGAGGGTAACTATACAAACGGTTCGGGGCAAGAACGAAATAAACACATACTATTCAGTCACTGCCGTTGGTCTGAACATGCATCGAAGCCATCTATCTCCATCGCACGTAGCGGTCAGAAGGCTTCACAAGCAACTTGCCTCGGATAGATTAAGTATATACCTGCTCCCTTTCATACGCACCTACTTGGAGGGTCGGGGGACTTAGTAACTGGTTATTTTAGGGACTTATAAGTACCATAACCCCAATTAGGGTCCCTTTTAGGGTACTTATAAGTCTACTTACTACCTACTTACTAAGTCCCCCGACCCTCCAAGTAGAGGATACCTCTCACCTTTGGTAGCTTCTCGGCTTGGGGTTCACCAACAGAGCAGCTACTACAAGTTGAGTTAAGGCATACCTTAACCCTGAATAACCTTCCTGTTTAGGGTTCCTTAGTATGATTTCCTTGTATAAGTCCTTAAAAAAGGTAGGTCCTTCAGTGTTAAGTACGATTTAGAGCCAAGCACCCTACTTGTCGGGTATCATGGGGAAAAAAGTTTAACCTTCTTGCTTACATAGGCATTATACAGGGACTATACTACCCAAAAAGGTTAAAGGTTCCCTACTCTACTACATTCTACTACTAACTAGGGCACCCTGTCAGCACTTGGACGATGTGACTTTTCGGTCAGGATCCTGTTCTGTGCTGCTGCAGGCATGGCGGAGACACTTAAAAAAAGGGGCCTTGACAATTAGAATAGGGTTCCCTTTCAAGGGGGTCTATAAGGGCTACTATAAGGGCTATGATGAGGATTTAGTATAGGGGCCTTAAGAACTAGAACAGGGTTTTGGGGCCAATTGTACTATAAATATACTTAATAATGAGGAAGCCCAAAATACTATAGATAATTATCAAGGCCCCTATAGTAATCGAAGCTCGAAGATCGAGAAAAAAATCTTCTACGCACTGTGCAGCTGATCCTGCACGGCCCTGCTGTCACCACCATGGCCGTCAACACCCCAAGTCACGATGCATCCATCACGAAGGATTGCAGCAAAAGCAGCGTAAGAGGCTTGGATGTGCTGGACATTCTTCAGCTGACCCTGCACTGCGCTACTGTCACCGCCATGGCGGGCATCACCCCAGGTCACGACAGAACCATCACCAGTAAAGGCAGCAAAAGCGCCGGGACACCCTTGGATCTGATGGACATTCTTCAACTGATCCTGCACAGAACTAATGTCACCGCCAAAGCGGGCATTACCCCAGGCCACCACAGATCCATCGCCAAGAATGGCAGCAAAAGCGTGGTCACAGGTTTGGATCTGCTGCACATTCTTCAGCTGATGCCGCACAGCACTACTGTCTCCACCACTCCCGGCGTACCCCCAGGTCACAACAGATCCATCAGCAAGAATGGCAGCAAACGCGGCTCGGGTGGCTTGGACCTGTTGCACATTCGTCAACTGATCCTGTACAACACTACTATCGCCACCATACCCAGCATCACCCCAGGTCACAACGAATCCATCGCCGACAACGGCAGCAAAAGCCCCGAAAGAGGCTTGTATTTGCAGCACGCGTCTCAGCTGATCCCGAACAGCACTACTGTCGCCACCATGCTCAGCATCACCCCAAGTCACAACGAATCCATCTTCAAGAACGGCAGCAAAAGCGCCGAAAGTGGATTGTATCTGCTGGACACTCTTCAGCTGATGTTGTACAACACTGTTCTCGCCACCATAGCGTGCATCACCCCAGGTTACGACAGATCCATCGCCAAGAATGGCAGCAAAAGCGTGGCGACAGGCTTGGATCTGCTGCACATCCTTTAGCTGATGCTGCACAGCACGACTGTCGCCACCGAAAGCACCACTGCCCCAGGTCACGACATGTCCATCACCAAGAATGGCAGCAAAAGCGGCGACAGTGGCTTGGATGTGCTGCACATTTGTCAACTGATCCTGCACAGCTGCACTGTCACCACCGTAGCCAGAACGACCCCAAGTCACGACGGATCCGTCCCCGAGAATGGCAGCAAAAGAAAAGCCAGTGGCTTGGATCTGCTGCACATTATGCAGCTGATCATGCACAGCACTGCTGTCACCCCCGGAGCGAGCATCACCCCAGGTCACGAGGGAACCATCACCAAGAATCGCAGCAAAAGCTTCACCAGACCCGCAAACTTGAACTCTGCTTATGTGTAAAGTCAGCGAGTCACCATTCTTCAGTTCGGCAATCCTGACCGTTGCACATGCATCCAGAACTCTTCCAGACGAGTCCACCAAACGTCCTCTTCCGACTCCAAGCGCCGTCTGTGCCCGGCATTTCAACGTCGCCACATCTTCATCTAAGTTCGTTTTCAGTAAGGCTCTCTTGCCACTCAGCAGTCCGACTTCCACGGTTAGCGACATGGGCGTTTCCGAAAACAGGGGACCCTAATATAGTACCCTAAATAGTAGGACCCTTATTAAAAGGACTCCAAATGAGGTACCCCAATTTTCGGAAACTCCCACATGGTGCGCAGCGAAAATCTTCAAACAGGTTGTGAAATTCGAGGGTTTCGGGTCCCGGGATCTAAGCTCGGGCGGATTTGAAGGTCTTGGGGTCATGTACTTTATTGTTGTTAACATTAGAACTACCGTTGTCGTTCATACTACGGCTATTGTAATTTTTTGCTATCTAGTAATGGCATCAGCAATAGTATTACTACTAACATTAGGAGTAGTAGCAGAAGGAGTAGTAGTGGTACTAGTAGTAGTAGCTGCTGTTGTTGCTGTGGTTGTTGTAGTAGTGGTAGTAGTGGTAGTGGTAGTGGTAGTGGTAGTGGTAGTGGTAGTGGTAGTGGTAGTGGTAGTGGTAGTGGTAGTAGTAGTAGTAGTAGTAGTAGTAGTAGTAGTAGTAGTAGTAGTAGTAGTGGTAGTAGTGGTAATGGTAGTGGTAGTGGTAGTGGTAGTGGTGGCGGTAGTAGTGGACGTAGTAGTAGTCGTAGTATTAGTGTTAGTATTAGCATTAGTATTAGTATTAGTATTAGCATTAGCATCAGTATGAGTATTATTATTATTAGTAGTAGCAGCAGTAGTAGTAGTAGTAGTAGACTACTACTAGTGCTACTAATACAAGTAGAAGCAGCAGTCGCAGTAGCACTACCAGTAGCAGTAGCAGCAGCAGTAGGGGTAGCAGTAGCAGTAGCAGTAGCAGTTGTAGTAGTAGTAGTAGTAGTAGTAGTAGTAGTAGTAGTAGTAGTAGTAGTAGTGGTAGTAGTAGTAGTAGCAGCAGTAGTAGCAGCAGCAGCAGTAGTAGTAGTAGTAGTAGTAGTAGTAGTTGCTGTAGAGTGGTATTAGACTTGGCATCAACTATTTGCATTTGTATTTGTAATTACTCGTCTCTTTCTTAGTGTTGTTTCGAGATTTCTTAGTACTCTTATTGCTCTGATTATTCTTCTGGTCTTATGATTTTTCTTTTCCGAAAACTTCGGGGCGACTGTAACACCTGGCACCATCCCTGTGAGCCTCAGCAGCCTTGCTGGTCTTAGTGTTGCTGCTGGTATCATCTGCGCTAATTCCGGTTCCAACTACTGTTGAGGTCAACGATGGCAGCAGCAGTATAGTATTTCTCAGCTCGCCCAAAACACTACAATTCCAAAGCTGTTGTAAACCACTGGTTGGAGTGTTCACAGGGTTACATGATGCCCGAAACCCCAAACTCGCTTTGGGTGTTTGCTTTGTGTTTGCTTGGCAACAAGCATTGATGGCCTTGCCGCTTCAGGGCTTCGAGCATTCGGAGAGCTAACCGGCCCTCGGTGTAGATGTGGGTTCAGAGTTTATGGTTTGGAGGTTGCATTACGGCAGCAGCCCTGTAATGAATTTGAGTAAGTACCAGGCCCCTGATATACCTACACTAGCCATGGTCCTTTGCCGATCTAAAGATGGTGCACGTAGGCTGGGGCCAGGGTGTTCACGAAACCCTGCACCCCTAGACCCTACCTAGAGGCTCTTTCTCTACCCCCTGTTTAAGGATACCGAGTCTTATGATTAGGACCTGTTGTATAGAGAAGTAGATACCAGACACCTAAACGCCTAGAACACATGCCTTGGCCGAGTGGCTCCCATGGGCGTGCCCACAGCATGATACCACTCCTGGACCAACTCCGGCATGCTGTCCTTTGGCGGTTTAGGGTTTACGGTTTAGAGTGTTGGTGGCGTGGGGACAGGTAAGAAGGACCTTAAGCTTGCAATAAAGATTGTGGGGGTTTCTTTAATAAGGTACTTTGTATTGTGATGTGCTGTGATAGTAGTTTATCAGTTTATCACTTCTTCAAAACCTCAGTGGTAGGTTTGTACTCTGCTTGAACTACCCACCAGCCAATACATGTCCGATTGGGCCTGTCCGGGGGGAACCTGTAAAGAATGTACTCCCCGGGCTCCCAAAACCTTCACCCTAAACCAAACAATAGGAACCTGCGAATGCTCGCTGCAGAGGGGCAGCTCGAACGAAACGTCTTCGGGCCTTCGGGTTGGGGGTTTACTTTGTGCTATACTTACCCGAAGCCCCCGAACCCTAGACCCCTCCACTCTAAACTTTCCTAAACCCCTAAACCACCAAGCCCTTATAGATCCCTTTGAAGGAACCGCTCTAGATCCCTTCTTAATTTAGGAACCCTTAACCCCTATAAATCCCTTTAAACGAACCCTTATAGGACAACAAACCCTCTCTCTCTCCCAGGCATTCGAAACGTCGAGCCCGGCTGCAGGACACAGATGGTCCCACGTGACCCTTGAGCCCTAAACCCCTAAACCCTTATGGTACCCTTGTAAATCCCTTAAAGGAACCCCATATATAAAAACCCTAAACCCTAAACCCTTATAGTACCCATATAGGTCCCTTGAAGGAACCCCATATAAACCCTAAACCCTAAAACCCTGGAGCCCCTAACTTCAAGGCTCGAAGTCTACAGATGCAGCGGTTCAGGTCTCTGGGGTTCAGGGTTTAGGGGTTTAGGGTTAGGGATTTGGGGTTTAGGGGTGGGTAGCTGATTAAGAAAGTGCTGGGTCGAACTGCAACATAAATAGCAGCTCTCTCACTCTCTCTCTCTCTCTCTCTCTCTCTCTCTCTCCCTC